TTGTCATCCAGAGTTTCTTTGGATTGGAGCCATTTATTTCAATCATATTTCTCCAGTAGGCTTTCCTTTTTTCTGAGAGCAATGACTGTTTCTTCAACATGGCATCAACGAACCTTTTCTTGCCAACATCCCCAGGATTAAGTCGATAAGCTCTTTCAAGTCTTCTGCAGCGTAGCTTAGTCTGCCTACACTCTTCATCGAACCAAGGCGAAGCAGCATTGTTTCTAGTCATCACATAGTGTTTCGGTGCAACAATATCTATAATATTTTTAACTTTTTTTTGTAAAGATCAAATAAGTATTCAGGATCATCTGATTTAAAAGGTCCATTAATAGGCGAGTTTATTATTAACGCGGCAAATTTATCAAAATCCACACGATTTCATGAACGAACCAGTCTTTTTTTTCTAACAAAATAATTTAGCGGAATCGAAAAACATACTTGGACCAGACCATGATCGGAATAAATACCATATGGACCTACGGTACATGAGGACACAGGCAATTCCATTGAGGATACCACTAGATCCAAGATACCACCATGTACATGGGTAGTTTCCTTAACTCTATTTTCAAGGTTAAATGCATGAAAAACATCTACCAACCGGATTGAATGAGTATTTCCAGCCTTTTCCAGATGAACATTCAAATCCCCCGTAAGAATGACATAGTCCGCCAATAACGAAATCTGCTCCAAGAGTGATGTAAGCTCATCAAAAATTGCAGGAGTAATTGGTACAGAACCCGGTCGATAAACTGCCAATAACAGAATCGTTTTTTTACCGCACCGAAATTTAATAGCAAGTGATTCAAAGGAATTTACCACTGGTAATTCTATTTTTTTAACCTTGAAAACATTCTTAAAATATACAATTATTCCTCCATGATTAGGGTCGTGTGGGCACAAATAATCCATAAATGAGAAGCCAATTTCACAAAAATATCATCAGATGATCCATGCCATGTTTCGGTCAGTACACATATATCTAAATCATTTGATAACAAATCATGAATTATATCATATTTTGACCGAATGGATCTAATATTAAACAATCCCAAATTCAATCCGGTTTGGTGGCAGGCCTTGGATATCTCACTATTCTCCATTGCCCGACCACACCTCTGACCCGATATAAAAAATGACCATCTTTAGATTTTTGCGTTTTTGCCTCAAGACCCAATTTTTTGAGCTGCAGACGCTGGTCCGTTGTAAGGTCATCACTAATCCTCACTTCCCTCATTTTTTCATCCAGCAGCGCTAATCTGAACAATCTTCTCATCTTCTCTTTTGCAGAAAGGTTGATAAACTTAACAATCACTGGACGCGGGGGAGACGATACGCTTGGCTTTTTACCTTGTCTGAATATTTTCAATATGTCCTCATCTTTCAGAGACTCGTCTGTTAGGGACCTTAAAAAGCCAAGAACATTGCCCCTATCTTTAGCAACATCCAAGTCTTTGCTGAAATTAAGGAGAACTATGTTGTTTTCACGGGCCTTAACTTCATTTGCCACTTCAATTGTTCTGCGAACAGAGATGACCTCTTTACTAACTACGTTGAGGTCCTTTTTTACCACATCGGAAAATGAAGTACTGATCATATTTCTCAAAGAAGCAGCCTCGTTATCGACAATTTTAGAATTACTCTTTACCACGTCTGACCAAGACTTGGTGATATCGTTTTTCAAGGAATTAATAGACTGGTTAAGTTTCTTGTCTAGTTTTTCTGTTTTAGGTTCTCACCGCTTGGCTCAAGCCTCAACTGCAGATTTTTCATCCCAATATCAATGGAATCAAACGTTTTAAGACGAGAATCAATGGATTCAAATTTTTCGTTAAGCATCTACAAAAGACCTTTGAAACCATCAGCATGTTTCACGCAATTATCACAATAAAACTTCATGTTTTTACTTTTGCTAGCATATTTCACCAATTCATCATATAAGTCCGAAGGCTCGATTTGAACCACCGCATCACATACACAACATAATATGTTATCATCCTTTACGGAAGCAGATTCCGGAATTGATTGACTCTTCTGAGATCTTGTTTTAGACATGTCTTAATCGAGCACACAAACGAAGTCTATGGAGAAAATGCAGTGGTAGATACAGGTCTTTAGCACGATGCAGCAGCTGCACTGTCGAAGCCGTTTCAGCGACAGCCAAGGTAGTTTTATATTCTGCAACAACAATGACCAAAATTTTCTTTCAAATCACTGTTGATATTCCAGACAAAATAACAGAATAACCGAAACAATGCAATACGTCCAAAAAACAAGGAGTGATAGCTTACAATTCAACAGAAACGTATTTACATAAGATTTAAACTAAAAAAATAAATTAGTTACTTAAGTTCTAAATTATTCAAAGATACAAAAATATATTAATAATCCTCTCTAATTAACCTATCAATTAAACCTAATTTGAACAATATGCACTCTGGGAAAACGCCGAAAATTAAGAAAAATTACAAAAAATCAACAATCAACAAACAACCATGTACATACATATATATATATATATATATATATATATATATATATATATATATATATATATATATATATATATATATATATATATATATATATATATATATATATATATATATATATATATATATATATATATATATATATATATATATATATATATATATATATATATATATATATATATATATATATATATATATATATATATATATATAT